GTAACATTATATACTAAAGTTTAATTATTTCAAAACAACCAATATATCAACATGTTATTATTAAACATTTAATTTCATAAATATAAATTAAGAATAATTATCAAAAGCAAAATTATTAAAGTCTTATGCCTGAAATCTTCATTATATTGACAAATTCAATCACTAATAGTATACTTGATATGCTGTGTGTAAATGTAATTCAAAATGTAACAAATTATAATTTCATGTACTACTAAAAAAGGGAAATAACAAATTTATAACCTAAGTGTCAAAAATCAGAACATTTATAGCTATTTATAGCTTTCGAATTCATGTACAGCAGAACTGCTTTCCGGTTCTCATTCATTAATATGACATGCAAATCACCGAAGGAGAAACCAATATAGAAATCGAAAGGAGTTATTGAATGCGGATTTATTTTTAGCTGTAAATCGAAGGGATAAATTGATCAAATCCGGGCCCATTGACAAAAAAAGTAAACACAAATAGCTCCGCGCCTGTGGGCGCGGAACAACAAACTCTGAAACATTATTGACATTCCTAACATACATACTAGAACTCAGCTTTTTAAAGACTACTTTCTACCCTCCGTAATAAGAGACTGGAACATGCTGCCTGAAGATGTTAAATCTACCCTAAGAATCTTTAAAAGTAAACTTAACGCAAATATACGTTTAACTCCATTACACTATTATTCTGGTAACAGACATGCCGAAATATTAGGCACTCGATTGCGTTTAGGATGTATCTCACTAAATCATTACTTTTTGGAAAGTCAATTACTATAATTAACCGAACTGAACATGCGGCGAAATAGAGACAACCAACCATTATTAAGTATATATTTCCTTACACATTACATTACTAATCGAATCTCAGCCATTCTTCTTCCAACACCTTAGGAGATGAATCAACATAAGTATTTGATACTTGTTTTCATATCTAATTCCAAAATGTATTTTGTTCGTTCTTTCTTTTCATAATATATTGATATATGAATAAGAAACTCATGTACTACTATGTATTATTTTGTGAATAAAAATTGTTTAAACTACGATAGTGACGGAACGATAAAAGGATGGTGACAGTACGACAGCACGATTGTGACAGTACGACAGTACGCTGGTGACAATACGACAGTACTATGGTGATAGTAAAACAGTACGATGTTGACAGTACTATGATGGCAGTACGATATTGACAGTACGATGATGGCAGTACGAGGGTGACAGTACGATGGTGACAGTACGATGATGGCGGTACGATGGTGACAGTACGATGTTGACAGTACGATGGTGACAATACGACAGTACTATGGTGACAGTAAAACAGTACGATGTTGACAGTACGATGGTGACAGTACGATTGTGACTGTACGATGGTGGCAGTACGATGGTGACAGTACGATGGTTGCAGTACGATGGTGACAGTACGATGGTGGCAGTATCATGGTGACGGTACGATGGTGACAGTACGATGATGGCGGTACGATGGTGACAGTACGATGTTGATAGTACGATGGTGACAGTACAATGGTGACAATACGACAGTACTATGGTGACAGTAAAACAGTACGGATGTTGACAGTAGATGGTGACAGTACGATGTGGTAGTACGATGGGTGACGATGGTGACAGTACGATGGTTGCAGTACGATGGTGAGTGACAGTACGATGGTGGCAGTACGATGGTGACGGTACGATGGTGACGGTACGACAGTACTATGGTGACAATACTATGGTTTTCACAACTGTTTTATCGTCGTGCTGTCGTACTGTCACCATCGTAATGTCGTACTATCGCTATCGTACTGTCATGTTTTGCGCTTTTAGTTCTAAGAGAAAACGCGCTGGGTCTAACGGTACATCGTAAATTTTCCCACCAATACACACAGACACATACAAGTATTTAAAATTAACTTAAAGCTACATTAAATGAATTTCTTAAAAACAGAAATAGCGACATTTCATTAGTAAATTTAGTTTCATATCGACTCCAGATCTTATTATGGTGTCAAGGCAACCAAAATGAGTTTTATAAGCATAAACATCTGCGACCTCATTGTGGCGAAATCGGAATTTGCATGAGAAACTCCGCCTTCGGGTCATCCGTACATCAATATTAAATCAAAGTAGCAGTCCTAATTTAACGGTATATTTCCGCATTGTAACGGATGTTTTCATACAAATTTAATATTTTTCTCAGATGATTACTCTTTCCTAAACGCCATGCCAAGTGTACCGTGAAGCTAAAACGGTTAAAGTGTGTATGCACATGAAAATCACGTATTTGCTGTGTTCTGTATAGCAACTATAACACTGTGACGTAGCACATACATGAACTGATTATAGTCTTCATTTGCATGTTAAAATTCGTATACGAACTTTAGTGTTACCGTGGGGTTTTCCGTTTAAAATCGTAATTTATGAACAATATTTGATGAGATTTACAACAATACTGTTAAAAAGGTTAATAAAACAGTAGAATGCTTGGTTATTAGGCTGACGGCAAAATATTTTTACATATTTATTTAATGTAACTTTAACTACTTAAGAATATACAAACTCCTCAGGTGATAACCTCCCTTGGCAGAATTGTAGTGGTTACCTCCCTTTGCATAACTTCACAGAAGTCACATGATGATGAAAAAAAATCTGGAAACAAAGTGACCCATCGGAAGCATTTATTACAACAAAATAACATGAAAATTGCAGACTAAGTCACATGACATAACTTTGAAATTCAAATGTTAATATCGACCGTTACATAGAAAATATATCTGTTTTATTTTTAACTTTTCATACCTACGTTCGTTATAGTTTATCAAGAATTTATCAAAAGTATACAAAATAATGAAAAATAAATTTAAAAGCTAAAATAAATAATAAAATATCAAAATATTGATAAAAACGTTTGTGGTGTACTGATGAGGGGAGATCACTGCGTATGAGATTGAAGAATATACTTAGTCTGGAGTTCCTTCCCTTATACTACGTTCCGTAATAAATGTGTAAAAATATAAAGATATGAAAGATATGAAATTCTTACTGAATATGTCTAATTTAAAATAAAGAATAAAAACTATGTATGAGAAGCTGTGTTCCCTTTAACAGATCTTTCTTTAAAAAAAAAATCTTCGGTAATATCAAACGAATATATATATATATATATATATATATATATATATATATATATATATATATATATATATATATATATATATATAATATATATATATATATATATATATATATATATATATTTGACATCCAAAGAAAATTTAGTCTGTTTCGGTACAATGATGACTGAAAATTTGTCTGACAACCATTTTAAAATTTAAACATGCCCAATGATGTAAAATTTTAAACAATTGCGACTCAATGTCAACAGGTTGGCATTTGTACTTTCGGTTTCTACAATCATAATAATAAATATACATAATGTATTGTTTGCTTTTGTATCTATGAATTCACTTTTATTAGATGGACATTTACATTTACAGTATTGCAAATAAACTTGTCAACAATTCCCACCATTTAATTACTATTTGTATACATGTCTAGTTTCTTAGCGTAGGTTAGACCGAAATACCGTATCCGTTCATTGTGTTCGAGGTCCTTCAATCGTAACTTTTCGGCCCTTTTCGTCATTCGGATAAGGGCCTCGAACACAATAGTATGAACGGATACGGTATGTCGGTCTAACCTACGCTAAGAAACTAAACATGTAAACAAATAGTAATTTAATGCTGGGTGTTATATATCAAGTAAAAGTCCACTTTAAATTAGTGAATTCATAGATCCAAAAGCAAACAATACATTATTTATATATTTATTATTATGGCTGTAGAAACCGAAAGTACAAAAATGCAAACCAGTCGGATTTGTTTAAAATTGTACATAAGCGGGCATTTTTTATTTAGAAAATATTGTCAGACATATTTTCAATCAAAATTGTACCGAAACATACCTTTTTTCCTTTAGATGTCAAATATATACATTCGTTTTACATTTCTGATTACATCTGAAACTACTTTTGGACGTTCCGATTGCGAGGTACTTATCCGAAGACTGACGGAAAGGACCGGAAAGTTGCGATTCCTACACTTTGTATTTCACATTGTTATGGAAGGGATTATCCGCCATCCTAATTAATATGAAGACATTCTTATTGATAGGAAGACATTATTATTATTATTATGAAAACATTGTTATTAATATGAAGACATTATTATTAATACGTTGTAATCATTATGCAATATTAAGATGTTGTACTTGGTGCAATTGACGTAACTCGAGTTCTTATTGAAATATGCGAACATTCACTTCAGTTCTAAGGCTGTAAACATGCAAACTATAATTAGATATTTAATTTGCTGGCTTTCAAATATTTTTCCTTTATTTGAATTTGCTTTCTAAAATTAATTTGACACACATTTTATTCGTACAGTGTTTCAGTATTTATTTTACAAAAATCATGGTAATTTTAGTCCCATGTTGACATTATGTATTCGAAACAGCAGTTTGCATAGCACACTCAGAGTTTCGAAGTATAATTCAAAATTAATTAGGTTTTTGCGCTAGAATTGGCCCTTTAAATCAACGGGGAATAACTGGTAAAATGTAAAAAAAATAATAACCGCTCCCTGACCGGTGTTAACAAATCTGATACTACGAAAACAAATCCGATCATGTGGAGGTTAATGACTACCAAATATTTTCTCCTATATATAACGTATAGTAAAAAGGCCAAGCTTGAGGCAAAATATCTCAAAATCCGCCGCATACAGTATGCCACATGCATACCTTTTCTGAAAGATCTTCAAAAATGAATTGATTTAAAGAATAAAAATGATATGTTGCGCATTATGCAAGAGAGAGCATGTTCGTTGTTGTTGTATATAGAGCTAGTAACAGCGCATAATCCCTTCCATACATTGTGACTACCTGTAGTGCATAACCTATCTACTTTGTGTGTAGTGAAAACATGGTTATTTTATATTTTCAGACTGCATAGCATTTAACAATATTTTCACATATCAAATTTGAGCATAGGCTAGCATATCAAAGGTAGTTTTTTCTTGTATTGGTAAACGTTCTTTTTATTAGTTAAACCTTGTCTAATCAGGACAAGATTTACCTGTCCATGACGCTTCTGGTTTCCCAGGATCAATAAATATAGTGTACACGTAATGGTTTTATCATTCAAGTTCTTCGGGAATAACCTGGATATTTCACATTTGAAAGGTACTTTACAAACTTAACAATTAAGTATATTTTGTCTGATTATATTTAAGTTTATAACACAATTATACCGATCGTATATGTATTATCTATTATGCAAGTGAAAGCAACTAGATCTAGTACTGAACGCCTGCCCGTGCTCTGGTTAATTTAATGTGGTTTATATAATAGAAAGAGCATCGAAACACGATGTACGAGGGGACGTAGCCTCCGAGTATTAATCAGATTGCCGAGTGTTTTGATGTTCTTTCTCTTTTTTATCGCATGGCTGTGAGCTTTTCCTTTGTTCTTTCCAACCCATTATACTCAGTACACTTCAATGAGCATTTCAAAACTGTATTGATATATAACAGTACAGTTTTGTCATTGATTCATATAGGAAAAAAACTCGACTGTTATATATCGGTCGAGTTTTTTTCGCACCTTGTATATATCAATACAGTTTTTTCATAGAGGCTCCAATGGGGCAGTGGTAACGACCATTTCCAGTAGCAAAAAAAAAAACCCATAAGATAATAAAAAATGAAATCAATAAAATAAAATAAAATAAATATATAAATACAATGAAAAATGTAAACAAAGATAATAAATGAAATGAAAAAATTAAGCCCTTTAATCTTAAATCAATCTTGGTAACAGTATACAATCCGCCTCTTATATTGGATGTCTTTTGCATACTAGTATTTTTTTTGCGGCAGCGAAAACAACTTGAAAAACTGCCTTATGATAAATAACTGTAATGTAGTTAACGATTAATTTATTTATTTGTTTCTATACAAAAAAGAAAACATTATGCCATTGCGATAAAACAGTTATAGTATATGAAACTCGTTAGTTACGGGGGTATAACACTGGCTGGGGCGACATCTCGGGATGTTTCTGCAAAAAAAATTGTCTCGGCCTAACGGCCTCGCCATTTTTTAGCAGAAACACCCCTTGATGTCGCCCCAGCCAGTGTTATACCCTCGTAACTAACTCGTTTCATATACTATAACTATTACGTATCATAGTCAAACATAAAAACACGTTCCCTGTTGTCACAATATGAAACCCCGGGAAAAAGTAACCAATGAACGAGCATCTGAATATGATATTTCTGTCGCTTTCCCTTTCTCTTCCGTCACAATATGTAAACCCCAGCAAAAATGAGCCAATCAATGGGCATGCTCTGGAGTGCGGGTAACTAATACCTGCACTCCAGTTAACGCACTGTGCATGAATATGTATACTATTTAACTCTGACAAATTTTCAACAGAAAGGTCCCCAAACTATGATACAATTAAATACTGCCGTACCACCACGCTACTTTTAACTACAGCGGTATTACACCCCACTAATACACACGATGTTAAAATGTTGAGAATGACCTATCAAGATTACATATATTATTAAGGGTACTAAATATAATGCAAATATATTCATTAGCACTTTTATTTTGTAGAAGGCACTTTAATAAAATGGGTGTTCCATGGCAGCCACAAAGTGTGATATGTATAAAAATGTTTGTCTTATATATAATAAAAACAATGAAGTCTCACTGTTTTGTTTATCAAATCATCAAAGATGTGATTTTTTTGTACTGGTTCCAATATAAAATTAAGTGAAGCCGGTTGCACATGTTTTCTTGAGATATGTGAATCTGAGAGAAAGATTTGTACATTATTTATAACCAATAAGTATGATATATATATAATGTTAAAACGCATAAAGACTTATTCAAATCATCCTCACACAAAATGGATACAGTTTTGGCTGAATTGGTTACTTGCGAAAAAACCGCTTTTCACTTCAATACCACAGCACTTAGAGTGTAGACCCCCGCTCTTCCCCGCTCCTGAATATGAAAAACTAAAAGTATTATTTATGACAGGATCTAGTTTTAATTTTTGCTATGTTACTATCCGATCGTACCATTCTTATTTGATTAATTTTCCAAACCGTGTAACATGTTTGTTTACTGTAATGTTTCCCGCAGGGAAACAGAAAAATTCGTTAAAAACTTTAATGATTGAAAATGTACGTTGTTATCTCTCACACATAAAAATATGGAACGCCATAGCTGCCACATGTTGTTACATTTCATTTTATCTTGCCCTGAAAGCGTCTTATTCTGTTAAATATTAGTGTTGTGTTGACATAGTATTTTGTCAAATTGTCTAAACATTGCACTATTATGCGTAACAGTAGTCTTATCTTTTCAAAAGTTGATGTTGACTTGTCTTAACATTGTTAACTTATTTCAAACAGTAGTGTTGTCATGTTAAAATGTCGTTTTGGCTTGTCTGAAATGTGTCATATTATGTCAACATGTCGCGCTATTTGGTCAAATTGTGGAGCTGTTTTGTCAAAATACTGTCTGATCATTTGAAACAGTAGTGTTTTCTTGTCGAAATTTGCTGTTGACTTGTCAAAGTACTGCTTTATTTTATCAAACTGATATGTTATTTTGTCAAAATACGGTGTTTAAATGCCTTAACATTGTCTTATTGTGTCAAACAGAAGTGTTAATTAGCCAACTTTCACTACTGAATTTTCTTATTATATCGAATATTCGCATTATCTTGCCGAAATGGGATGTTGACTGGACTAAATCATGCCTTATTATGATAAACTGTATGCTATTTTGTCAAAAAGCGGTTTTGACTTGTGAAAACTCTGTCTTATAAAGTCAAAAAAATTGCGGTATCTTATAGAAATGTGGTAATGACTCGTCTAAACTCTTTCTTATAATGTAAAGCAAAAGTGCTATATTGTCAAAAGTTGATGTTTTCTTGTAGAGAAACAAAAACATGTCTAATAATTTCTTATTTTGTTCAAATTTAGTTCTGTCTTGATTAAGTGCTGTCTGATTTTAGTTAACTGTCCCGTAATCTTTTTTGCTCTATCTTTTCACGCTCCGCGCGGGATCTTGTCACGTGATACTAAATTTGGACAGCATCACACCTGAACAGGATAACACGATTATCTGACATAATGAGACAGTATTTAGACAGGTTAACGTCATAAATTAGCAAGTAAACGCCACTGTATTACATAATGATTCTGTGTTTGAACAAGAAAACATCACATTTGAAAAGGAAAAATGATACTTCGAAATAAAAGGACGATGTTTAGTAAAATTAACACCGAACCTTGACAAATTATATGACACACTTTGACAAAAAGATAGTTATTTAAGTTATCACCACGTCAACGACATAATAATATTACTATTTGACATAATAAGACGAACCTAGACAAGTTAAATCTGCATTTGGACATAATGGCGTGACAGTTTGACATACTAAAATAGCGTTTTAACAGTTCATAACCATCATTTGTTAAGATACCACTATTATTTTACACAATAAGACGATGTTTAGGCAGGTTAACATAAATTTGGACAAAATAGCATGGCTATCTTAGAAATAAGGCAGTGGTTAGACATGTCAATACCATCTTTCGACAAGTCAACAATACTGTTTGTCATAATACAATAATGTTTACACAAACAAACATAATTTATTGGCAAGTTAACACTATTTTTCACATAATAAGTATATTTTTAGACAAGTTAACAACAGCTTTAGACAAGAAAGCATGCTTTTTGGCACAATAAGACAGAATAACACCGCCTCATACAAAGCAACATAACAGTTTGACAAAACTCAGACAAGTCAATATAACGGTTGAACAAGATAAACCTACTAGCCGACATGATAAGACATGAGTTTGACAAGTTGGCACCAAGTTCCGACAAGACAACACTACTGTTTCACATAATAAGACAATTTCTAGACAAATTACCACAACAGTTGAAATAGACAGCATGCTGAACGCAATGACATGGCAGTCTGACAAAATGTGACATTGTTTAGACAAGTCAATACAACATTTGGACATGACAAAACGGCAGTATAAAATAATATAACAGTGTCATAACAGTTGGACAAAATGAAACCAAGTTCCGACAAGATAACACTACTGTTTCATATAATAAGACAATTTCAAGACAATTCAACACCACATTTAGACAATACTGTGTTTAAACATGTTGAAATCTCAATTCAAAAAGATGGCGTGCATGTTAAACATGTTAAGACTTCCACCGAATTTGGACATGAGAACATGACGTTTTGGAATAATAAGACAGTGTTTAGACGAGTCAGCACTACGTTTTGACAAAATAACATGAATATTTGACCTAATAAGACTTCGTTAAGACAGGTTTTCATTAAACGTTGGCAAGTCAACACTACAGTTATACATAATAAGACGCTTTAAGGAAAAAATAAAACGAAATGTCACAAAATGAGACAGCTATGGCGTTTCATATAAAAATATATAACAATTTTATTTCTTTTTCTATCAAGTTTTATGTTCAAGACATGTGACCAAGTCGTAATAATATGCAAAAATATTTTGACGTACGGTTTGCAAAATAGAAATAGGCATGGTGTATACAAGTGCGGATCAAGAAGGGGAGCCACGCACATAACCAACAGTGTCTGTGTTCAGTACAATTATAAGCAGTTTGTAGCTGGATAAAATCGCCAATTTAGAAATAAGCAAATACAAAATTATGTAGATTGAACCACATTCCCTTGTTTAACAAAGTTAGATATATATTTCATTTACATGTGCCTTCTGGGTGTAACATATTGCGCCACCACACACTCAAATTGGCGCGTGTTAGACCAATCCCAACTTTCAGTTTTCGGATAAGGACCTCGAACACATATTACTTATGAATACACAGAACTGATACTGTAATTCGGTCTAACCTACGCTAAGAAACTGAAAATGTATAATGCTGGGAGTTGTTGACAAGTTTATTTACAATGTATTAAGTAATTGCCCACCTAAATAAGTGAATGCATAGATATAAAAACAAACAATACATTATTTGAATATTTATTGGTTGAATATTTATCTAGGGTTGTAGAAACCGAAAGTACAAAATGCCAACCTGTTGAAATTGAGTCGGATTTGTTTAACCCTTTCCCCCATGAGCATATTGTGA